CCCAGCCCTGGCACAGCCCACGTACCACATCGCTGACGGCGGGTTTGCCGGGGGGCAGCTTGGGCCGGGACGGGGGTCGGGGCGGCGGCGGCGGGGGGGTGCCACAGGTGGCCAGCGGCGTTCCGGGGCGAGCCGGGGACGAGGAACCTGCGAGGAACGGGAGCCGTGAGCGCCCTGCAGACCCTGCCCGCGGAGCTGGCACTGCCCAGCAGCGGGCACGGAGCGTTCCAGGACGGACGATGCCCGCGGAGCCCCGGCAGGGGCTGCTCGGTGCCCAATTCCCTCCACAAAATCGACGTCGGAAGAGTCTTACAGCTTTCCCAAAAAACCCACGGGGTGATGGGTGAAACGCTGCTGCAGGGCTGGCACAAGTGGGAATTGCTCGTGGCAGGGCAAGGTTGGGCTCAGCAAAGAAGGGGATTTGGGAAGAGAAAGGATTTGCTGGGAGCACAACACGGCTCCCAAGCCGCTGGAAGAGGCTCCCCAAGAAGGGAGCTGAGCTCAGGGCTGCTGTGCCTGCTGCACAGGGGGGTTTTGTGCCAAATGGGAATTCCAACAAACGTCTCACGAGAGATCCAGGAGCCTGCTTTGCTCCACACACAGGAATTCCTTCCAGGAGAAGCCCAGCGGGAACTGGAGCTTGGCAGAGGGGCACCAGGAGGGAACGCAGAGCTCAGAGCCAGGGTAGCTGAGCCAGTGCTTGTCACCAACATTCATGGAGCTCAGCAGCTCCATGCCTCAGACTGCTGAGATGGCAACTCAATAATTGCCCCACTTACGAGAGAATAATTCCCTGAGTTCTGTGGGTGATAGCTCAGATTGAGCAAAGATCAAAGCTGGATTTATAGAAACAAGAAGAGGTGAAGGAGAGCAGGCTCAGGCAAGAGAGGGCCTGGCTTAAAGGGAGTAAATTCCAGTCATTCCTTTGCACAACTCCAAAATTCAAGCCACTTTTATTTCAAAGCCTAACTTGGGAACCAAAGTTTGAATTTTTCCTTTCTTATGCCAAGAAAAGCCTGACAAAATAGGGAATGTTGAGGGAAAATAACCTTGCAGGATGGAGTGTCACAGGATGGAGCCTTGTAGGGAGGGTTCTGTGGCCACGAGGTAGCCAAAGGCTGGCCAGACGGTGGCTTCCACCCAGGGAATGGATATTTCCTACACCACAAACTGACAGCATGTGGAAAGCAGCATGGAATCAGAAATGTGCTGGAATTCTGGCCTTGGAGCAACGTGGGGTGGTGGAAGGGGGTTGGAACAAGACGAGCTTTGAGATCCCTTCCAGCCCAGCCCTTCCACCGTGCCCCTGCGCAGGTGCCCAGCCCTGCCTTGGTGCCACCAGGCAGGAGGAGATCCTGGGGTG